GGTCGAGGACCCAGGAAGAGGGCCCGGGTATGACGAGAGGTCTCCCAGAAAAGCAGGCTCGAGGGTGACCTAGAGAGGACCCGGGCTCGCCCGGGAGGACCTCACACCAGGGCCGTCCTTGATGCTCGCACACTAGGGAGGATGCTGGACTTGAATACGGGATGACACAGGGAGGACCCCGACCCCACGCCCAGGACTGACCGAGCGGGAGGATCCTGGCGCTGACCTGATCAAAGGAGTGAGCAGCTTTGCAAGCCTGGCATCCGTTAGACATCGCTGGTCCGGGTAAGTTGCCAAAGGCGTGCGTGGCGCCCTCGAGAAAGCAAGCAGAACGGTCGCCGGGATTAAGGAAAAGTTGTTGGTCCTGGTTCGCCCCCGCTTCCCGCCCCGTTTTGTTCGTCTGAAACAAAACAAAACAGTTATGGTTTGCAATTCAGCCACGTATGCTAGTTGCGGGACGGAGTGGCTGAGCTTAAGGTTTACTGACGTGAGGAGTTGCCAGGCTGACGTTGCCTTCTGCTTTTATTCAGTTTAAAGTAGGCACCCGTGTTTGTTGTGACTCACTGTCTCCAGGATTACTGTCAGTAATTTCGCACATCCCTCTATTTGCCGTCCTTTTGCAAATGAGCGCTGTCACTTTGCTGTGTCTTGAGTAGGGTCACCCTAGCACCAGGTGTAAAGGTAAAATAGGCTTTCCCAGGAGATCTCATGCAGGACGGAGAATGAGCAAGTTCCCTTGAGGAACTGTAGGAGTGGAGAGTAGGATGCCAAAGCCAGGTGCAAATGCAACATCGCTGTCTAACAAGCTCCCTGGTGACCCCAGCTGCTGTTGTGTTTTCCTTTGCCTCTCACTTGAAAAACAAGAGAGGATCTGTTGGGTGGGGTCTTAGAAGTGTCTGAAGGATTCAGCCTTTTGGATCTGCTTGAACCTGTTGCCTAAGTCAGTCCTTCCCAAGCCAGCCTTTAAAAGAGAAAGTAAGATTCCCGAGACAGTTGGAATTTCTTGTTCCTTAAGATGGTAGCTTCATTCACAATTGTAGTAACGTAGGTAATTTGCTTATGGCATCGTCAGTAAATTTTTTTTCAGATTATTATAATTTCGTGTTAGAATGTTATGTTGTTAGTGGCATGAAACTTTCTCACTCTTATTGAATGTCCTTATCAGATTAAATCTTACAGGAGAATTTGCACATTTAAGTTCTGGTCTGATTGTTATTTCCCACCAAGGTTGTGACTCGGGCTCCCTTAGACCACTTTTATCTGTCATGGAAAAGCGCGAGACCTTCGTCCAAGCGGTTTCTAAGGAACTGGTTGAAGAGTTTCTGCAGTTTGTTCAACTTGACGTAAGTTGTGTTTTACTTTTTTTTTTACTGTCATTTTGACTCTGGGTATAAATAATATTCTAAAACATCACTGACCCCAAGTGATCTACAGTTCTCTCAGTGAGTTCTGGGGGGAGGGGTGAATGTTGATTTTTTTTTTTTTTTTTTTTTAAAGATAAGTAAATTGCTTAGAATTAAGTGGACCTACTTTTGGGCTGAGGTAAAAATAGAAGATAAACAGAAGTTAACCAAAGAGCTTATTGAACTGAAGGCGGGAAGGATTGGAGGAAGCTGGTTGTGTTTTACCTTGAAGAGGGTTGGCAGGACTGTTGCACAGGGGTAGGTGCAAGGGGGAAAAGTCATCGAAGATGGCAAGCTGTGTTATGTTCCTGTTGCTTCGATAAAATGCCATGACCAAAAGCAACAGATAAGAGTGTACATTTGGTGTATGGTTCCAGAGGGATAAGAGTCTTATCATGGGGGGGAGGTGTGCTGGCCAGCAGGAGCAGGAAGCAGAGAGCTCACGCACGTCCTCATCCTAAAACAGTGCCACCAGCTAGGAACCAAATATTCAAATTACCCAAGGGGTGGGGGCACAACATGACACTTCTCATGCAAATGACTGCAGAGACCCTCGTTGCTATTTTAGGAAGGCCAGAGTTTGTCCAGTAGGCAGAGAGTAGCCAGCATGCAGACAGGAGAGGAACCAAAGAGTGGAGGGGGAGCTAGGATGGAAGGCAGTAAGAAGAGGGAAGAAAGTGTTACTTTGCTGCCGGCAGTGCCTGTCTGCCTGCAGGTACAGAGCAGGTTGAGGGACCACACCATGCAGCCCGAGATGGTAGCACTGTTTAACTTTGGCACTAGATTTGCGGTGGAAGTTGGAAGCCCTCAACTGCAGAGGTAGCGGTACAGTTTGGTTGGATATAACGGTGAGCGAATAGCCTAGGTGTGGGGGAAAAGATAGTCCTTTGTCTGTAGAGTGTGTCCAGGGTGGTGGCCAAAAGGTAGATTGACAACCTATCAGAAGGTCAGAGAAGCCTGGTTGCCGTGAGCTACATAGATGGGAGCTTCTGTTCTGGGAGGGTATGGTGGTGGAGGGTGTAGGAACAGCGAGGGACTAGAGTGCGGCCATGCACTTGTGCTGTGATAGCTAGGCCCTTTGTTCCAGGAGCCCCAAGCCAACCTTCCTGACCTGTCTTGATTAAGATAGTGCAGTGAAAAGTCAAAAGGCACAGAGTTAGAGAAGAGCCTAATAATGGATTTATGGCTGGCAACATGGCTGAAACATTTTCTTCATAAGACAAATGATCTTACAAGATGGCATAAACTCACAGGTCATACTGTAGTAGTAATGTTTTAGGAGCAAAATAATAATTTACAATTGTGTAAATGTCTGCCTCCTAGAAGTGTGTCTGGTTTGTGTTGGAAGTGTAATTCATGCATATTTAATGCCCAGAACATGGTTGCAAGACACATGCCACCATTTAACTAAAATTGTAGTGATCTGGACTGATGGTAAAGTAAGTTAATAATATTAAAAGGCAAATGGAGAGCCCAGGAGATGAGTAAGTTTATAAAGTGCTTCCTATGCAAGCATGAGAATCTGACTTTGTATTCTAGCACCTTTGTAAAAGACCAGGTCCCATGTGTCATGCCTATTATCTCGGCATTGGGAGGTGGAGACCAGAGGATCCCTGGAGCTTGATAGGTAGCAGTCTATCCAGTCCATGAGCTCTGGTTCAATAAGAGACCCCGATAGCATCACCTCTGGTCTTTACACAAGTGCACAGATGTGTACACACACACACACACACACACACACACGCACGCACGCGCGCGCGCGCGCGCGCGCGCGGAAAGACAAATGTAATGACTCAGTGGCATGCCAGTGGCCTGTTGAAGGTGCATGTTTCTGAAGTCCCTCCATTCCAGTAGCCTGCTAATGTTGAGTCTCTGTGGTGTTGCTTGGCAGCTAGCAGATATCTTGGTGAAATGTTTATTAGTCTTTTTTAGTTTAGCATTAGTAAACTTGTTTACCCTTAATAACTTAGTGTAACTTGTAAAACAAAAGACTTACATGGTTGTCTTAGGATTGTGCCTTGCTCGGTTTCATCAGATCGAGTGTTACGATATGCCATTTTCTGTAATGTTAGTTTCAGTAGTTCTGTACTTCTTCAGTATTTATTTATTGGTGCTCAGTAGCATGCCCGTGCTGTTAATGAATGACTTGTTAATTTATTAACTTGTCATATAGCCTTGTTTTTGCTAACTTTACTCTGAAGGCTATATAATTGTGAATGTACTTGTACTTGGATTGTTCCAGGACGGCTGCTGGACAGGCCTTTACTGGGTTTTGTACCTAGGTACCATTTTGACAAGGCAGAGAGACTTGGGCAGCCTGCCCAAGTGAGAAGAGAGGCTAGCAAGCTGGAGATGCTCAGTCAGACGGCTGTCCAGGGCAGACGATGTGGATGGTCTGTTGGTGGCACAAAGAGCCGAAGGAAGGAAATCTGAGCTTTTGGTTATTGCTGCTCCTGTTGCCATTTGCCTCTGCCATACTTCTACACTTGACGACAAGCCTGGGGTCCGGTGTGGACATTTAATTGATTTTTGGGGATGTTTAAGTGGGTGAAATTTTAAACTTTAAAGATCAGGTTCTAAGGAAGAAGAGGTGGAGGTGGCGGGGAGATTTGATGCTTTATGTTTGGTAATTCTGTTCTTTTTCCCCGTTAGGAAAGGATTTGAAAACTAACAGAGTGCTTAAACATGTAACTAAGTACTAAAACTTTGCTATTAATACCAGTATGAAAAGAATACAATCCCAGGCGTTGGTGGCACACGCCTTTAATCCCAGCACTCGGGAGGCAGAGGCAGGTGGATCTCTGTGAGTTCGAGACCAGCCTGGTCTACAAGAGCTAGTTCCAGGACAGCCTCCAAAGCCACAGAGAAACTCTGTCTCGAAAAACAAAAACAAACAAACAAACAAAAGAATACAACTAATTTTCTATATTTTTTTTTTTTTTTTTTTTTTACTTTATTTTGCAGAACGATTCTTCGGATCCTTTCAACTTAGGCGAGTTACTAGATGAGTTATCCAGGAAACAGAAAGAAGAGTTGTGGCAAAGGCTGAAGGATTTACTAACGGAGACATTGTTAGAAAGCCCTGTGGATGGGTGGCACACAGTGGAAGGCCAGGGTGAAGATAGGATGGAATCAGAGCCCAGTCCAAAGATGGTATTTATCTGTCAGAAACAAAAGTTCCTCTTTACTGTGTTTAGAAAAGATCGTTTATTTGCACAATTGAACTTTCTTTTTGAAAGAGTCTCATCAGTCCCTGGACAGCCTGGAACTCACATGCATACCCTGCTGGCCTTGACCCCAAAGGTCACCTGCTTCAGCCTTCTCAGGGCTGGGACTAGAGGTGTGTGTGCGTTCTTCATCACGCCTGGCTTAAACAACTGAACTTTTCAGTTAAGATGTGTGATGTGCCACTTCTGTTTGTTGTAATGTCACCTGCTGACCAATCCTGCTAATCGCCGTTTTGCTGGTACTCAGTGTTATGATTCTTTTAGGACATTTGACTTATATTCAGCTTTAATCTGCTTTGTACAACAAGTTAGAGGTGGCTTCATTTTAGAGATTTAGTAGCTATTTGATTTGTTTCTTTAAAGTTGAGCATCAGGCTCCTTATTTTATCTCACTCATGTCTTAATGTTTTATTTACAGAAAAAGAGCATAGAAATAACACACGCAATTACGTCTGTGATTCTTGCTTCCATATCTGTAATAAATGAACATGAGAACTATGGGCCCCTCCTGGAGTGTGCCGTCATACTAAATGGTAAGTGGCATGTTCAGTAATGAGCACTAACACGACACCTTTTTTTTTTTTTTTCTTTTAATTCAAGTTAGGGAACAAGCTTGTTTCACATGTAAGTCCCTTCTCCCTCTCCCTCCCCTCCTCCATCCCTTCTACCAAACCCTCAACTCCCATCCCACCCTAACCCTAACCCTAACCCTAACCCTAACCCTAACCCTAACCCTCTGCTCCCTAGGGAGGGTGAAGCCCTCCATGGGGGTTATTGACATCCATGTTCAGGGGTCTGGATCAGTCTTGTACTGGCCTTCCAGACAGCATCTGGGGTCGACGTGCTCTCCCTTGTTCAGGCCAAGTGTTCCTGTGGGTTTCTCCAACCGGATACAGACTCCTTCGATCTTCATTCCTCCCTCTCTTCAACTAAATTCCAGATTTCAGCTCAGTGTATATCTGTGGATGTCTGTCTCTACTTCCATCAGCCACTGGATGAGGGCTCTAGGATGGCATAAAGGGTAGTCATCAATCTCATTTTAGGGGAAGGGCTTTTAGGTTATCCTCTCCACCATTGCCTGGATTATCAGATAACACGACACCTTTTAAGAAGAAGTCATGGGCTGCCGAGATGGCTCAGCAGTTAAGAGCCCTGGCTGCTCTTCCAAAGGTCCTGAGTTCAATTCCCAGCATCCATATGGTGGATCACAACCATCTGTAATGAGATCTGGTGCCCTCTTCTGGAATGCAGGCATCATACAGATTGAACTGTATACATAATAAAACAAACAAACAAATAAATAAACCTTTTCTTAAAAAAAGAAGTTACCTGTCTTCACAAGCAGTGTGGCAGCCTGAAACAAAACTTTAAAGGTACGTCTTTGCACTCAAGTTCTCTTCTGTCAGGGCCCCCTGAGGAATTAGCTCGGCTGACAAGGGTTCTGAGTTGCTGACGACTGTTACTTATAGGTTCTGCAGGACAGTGCCTGGGCTCAGGACTAATGATAACAAGTGCTGCTGAAAGGCTGATCTGGCTGCAGATATCTCATTTCGTTCTGTTGCCACAGAGCCCAGGAATCTGTCATTGAATTTTTTTCTTAGAGGATGATCCTGACTGATCTCTGGAGTTATTGTTAATTCTCGTAGCTAGTTTTTGTTAACTTTTAACTGCCTGTAGACTGTGGTGTTAAACACAGTACACTAGTCTGATTTAATGAAAAGCCTGATTATAAAATGTTTACACATAGTTGTTTTATAAACATAACAGTTTTCTTTTAGGGATTTCAAAGAACTAGCTTTTGAGTACTTGGTTCACTTGGGTATAGTTTCCTGGGACAAATGTTCTCATCACATTCTTAGTCTCAGCATCACTTGGGTAACATTACATTCTTAAGATGCTGCTTTAGTCTGATTTCCTGACGTTAGCATTTTTTTTTCTTTTTAATATTCTATATTTTATTTTATTTTTGTTTCTCCCTCCCCAAGACCGGGATTCTCTATGTCCGTACTCACTGTATAAACCAGGCTGGGCGCAAACTCACAGAGATCTATCCACCTGCCTCTACCTTCTAAGTGCTGGGATTAAAGGCGCCAGGCGCCGCCACTTCCTGGCTTGTTGTACCTGTTTGTTTATTTATTTATTTATTTAATAACACTTAGAAATCTTTTTTAAAAACTAGGTATTATTGGAATTCCATAAATGATGTGTATTTGATAAATTAAACTAATATTTGTGTAGCAAGGCCCTGGGCCACATCATATAATACTCTGTACTATTGAGTCTGAACCGGTCATAATTTGCTTAATAAGAGGGAAAATACCCTTTGTGCTGTGTTCCAGGTATTTTATATGCACTGCCCGAATCTGAACAAAAGCTCCAGAACTCTATTCAGGATCTGTGTGTCAAATGGTGGGAAAAGGGCCTGCCCGCCAAGGAGGACATGGGGAAGACGGCATTTGTCATGCTGCTGCGGAGAAGTCTGGAGACCAAAACCGTATGTTTGCTTCCATTAGTCAGGAAATACTGAGGGTCAGATTAGCTAGGAGGGTGTGGATCTGCAGCTTCCCATGGTAGGGGCGTTTCTTCTTACAGAGAAGATGTAGAGGTCAGGAAAGGGTGTACAGTCCATCGAGAGATTCAAAGTTGGGCTTTTCCTCCCGTGTTTTCATCTCAAGGTGTGGCTGCCATCCTCTTTGTCACTGCACCTCTGTATCTTGTTCCCAGTTCTGCAATAGTGGAAAGACAGCAGGGGTGCAAGAGTGACCGAGCTGTGCAGTGGATTTTCCTTCGTTACTGGGTGGAGGGTGGGAGGAGAAGGCTGTGGTTCTCTGACCTTGGACATATCTTAGAGCAGGACTGAGCACATAGTCATCAGTGCCCTGGACGAAAGGTAGGCATTACGAGTTAGGATTGTTACGGGAAGTATTTCACATCACCGTGAAGGCCTAGGTGCGGCTGGGCCAGAGAAGAACAGTTTGGAAGTTTATGTCCAGCCTGGGTGCTAGGTGAGGCCCTATGAAAAAAATAAAGTAAAAAGCCCCAAAACTGAAGCCCAGAGTGTTCTGTAGAACTCCACAAAGCATCTGTGAACCTTAAATTTTTTTTTTCAGCTGTCACTAAGTCCTACTTTTTTATGACCCTATAATGTTCATCATTTATGATATAAAATATGTGCTTAGCTTGACATGCAACTTCACTGTTCACAAAACAAAAGCAAGTGCTTCTTGGTTCTCTCCCTCCCATGTCATCCTCAGGGCGCAGATATGTCTCGGTTGTGGCGCATCCACCAGGCCTTGTACTGCTTTGCTTATGACTTGGAGGAAAACAGAGACATTAAAGACATGCTACTCGAGTGCTTCATAAATGTTAATTACATCAAGAAGGAAGAGGTAAGTACTTATTTTTGTTTGTTTGTTTTTTCTTTTTTGGCTTGTAAGTGGGCTATTAATGGATTATCGTCTCAAGTTCCTGTGGCTGCTGTTTGTACCCTGCTGTTTTGTGGAAAGGTCAGCATAGCCATTAAGAGCTGGGCGTTTGTGATACTCCTTTAATCCCAGCACTTGGGAGGCAGAGGCAGGTGGATCTCTGTGAGTTTGAAACCAGCCTGGTCTACAAGAGCTAGTTCCAGGAAGGGCTCCAAGGCCACACAGGGAAACCCTTTCTTGGGGGCGGGGGTTGTACATATATATATATATATTATATAGTATTGTGAGTGTGTGTGTCACGGTGAGAAGGTGGTTACTCCTTGGAGACTGACATGGAGCCAGACTTTATATACAAACAAATTACGCATATATAAGTATGAGAAAACGTATCCTTATGGCTGAGATCTGCTCCCTTTTGTATTTCCACTGGTGGTGTGTTTTTTTTTTTGTTTTTTTGTTTTTGTATGGGGGAGGTGTCTTAGGGTTTCTATGGCTCTGATAAAATACCATGTGCAAAAGCAACTTGAGGAGAAAAGGGTTTATTTCATCTTAAAACTCTCCAGCCACACTCCATCACTGGGGCAGAAACTCAAAGCAGGAATTAGAGGCAGGACCTAAAGCAGAGACCAGGACAGAGTGCTGTATACTGGATTGCTTCCCATGGTTGTTTGTTGTTTTGGTTTTTATATTTTTGAAACAGGGTTTCTAAATACTATGTAGCTCTGGCTGTCCAGGCCTTAAGTGTATGGTTATTGTTATTTTAATATTGTTGCTTGAAAAGTCAGTCTTCTTTCCTTTTTAAGAGACAGGATCTCACTATGTGGCCCTAGCTAGCCTGGGACCCTCTATGTAGACCAAGTTGTCCTCAAATTCACAGAGATCAATCCTCCTGCCTCTGCCTCCTAAGTGTGGGGATTAACTTTTTTGTTTTGAGACAGGGTTTCTCTGAGAGCCCTGGCTGTCCTGGCACTCACTTTGTAGACCAGGCTGACTTCAAACTCAGAGATTCCACCTTCCTCTGGCCCCTCAGCCTGGCTTCTTAAACCATCCAGGACCACATGCTATGAGTAGCGCCACCCACAATGGCCCGGTCCCACCCACACCATTGATTAATCAAGAAAATGCCCCACTGGACTTCTTAATTGAGGTTCCCTGCTCTCAGATGACTCTAGCGTGCATCAGGTTGACCAAACAGTACCCAATGTGAAGGTGAGGAGGGTGTGGTATGTGTATACCATGAATTAAACCCAGAGCCTCATGCATGCTAGGTAAGTGCTCTATTACCAAGCCTCTTCCAGACCACATGATCATGTTCATTTAGCATATACACAAAAATTGCCATCACACAGTCGACTCCATTTCTTTTTCCACCATTCAGGAAATCTAATGAGAGGTTTCTGACCCCTCATGGTCAATCCCATGAGTGAACTGAGCAAGTTCAATTCACATGGCCAATTCCAGTTGAGATGGCCTTACATGTAAATTGACACAGACTAGAGAACTTAGCATGAAAAAAATTAAAAAAAGAATGTGTAATGTCTTTTTTTTTTTAAGATTTTATTTATTATGTATACAACATTCTGCTTCCATGTATATCCGCACACCAGAAGAGGGCACCAGATCTCATAAAGAGGGATGGTTGTGAGCCACCATGTGGTTGCTGGGAATTGAACTCAGGACCTCTGGAAGAGCAGCCAGCGCTCTTAACCTGAGACATCTCTCCAGCCCCTGTGTAATGTCTTAACAATTTTTTTGTAATTATTATGTACTTATTGTAAATGAGATTTTGTAAGAATTCTTATGTATGAAATATTTTTAGAACTGGGGCTATAGCTGAGTGATACAGATCTTGCCTGGCATACACAAAGCCTAGATTCAATTCCCAGTCCTACCCAGTTTTGTGTTTTTTTTTTTTTTTTTGTTCAAACTCATGGTTTCTCTGACTTTGGAGGCTGTCCTGGAACTAGCACTAGTAGACCAGGCTTGTCTCGAACTCACAGAAATCCGCCTGCCTCCACCTCCTGAATGCTGGGACTAAAGGTGTGCGCTGCCACTGCCTAGCCTGCTCAGGTTCTTTAAATACTACAAATAAACATAATCTTTTTTTTTTCTTTTTTTATTTGAATCAGAAACAAGATTGTTTTACATGACAATCCCAGTTCTCTTCTCCCTCCCTTCCTCCTCTACCACCCCCCAACTGAAACCCTACCACATATCCTTTTTTCTATTCTTCACCTTTCTGCTCCCTCATGACCTCTGCATCCTTCCTCTTCTTCCCTTCTCATTCTGGTAGCTTCCTTAAACATAATCTTATGTTAACATGGTTTCTGGAGAATAGTTCTGCTACGTGACGTCACTATGTAGTGGTTATTGAGTGTGGACTGTGTGCCCTTGCTGGGGTGCAAGATGAGACCTTAATACAGTGTGTTTGGGTTGCATTTGTCCTGAAGGGCCAGTCCCTGCAGCCATTTCTCCTGAAGCAGCAGAGAAAGCTTCCAAAGAACATTCCTCAGGCTCTTCAGCCCTGAGAGCAAAGTCCAGTCCCATGCCTGTAGGGCATATGTGATTAGCACCAATTTCTTTGGCTCCACCAGAAAAGTCTTCTCCATCCCCTGACTGAGAAGGGCCGGCACTCTGAAACCTTTGTGTTTCTTCCATGCCCAGAACAGCAGGTGTTCTTTCAGACCTGTGTGGGGAGAACAAGGTGTGACTTAAGGGATGTGTGTGCATTGGCCAAGTCCCTTGGGTTGTTGTTATGGCAACATCATTACTGGGGAGGTGAGGGGCGGGGTTGGCACCTGCACCTCCATCTCCAGGATCGTTATGAAGTTGGTGAGAACAAAGAAGTTTAGGATAGGGTCAAAGATTTCAGGCACTCTTTGGTTTTGCATTATCCACTACCCACAATAGGCAGACTGAAAGGTTTACAGACTCCTGTGAAGGTCTTGTGGCCCTGTCTCTGAGCTCCTTGAAGACAGATAGATGCCCATTGCGGCTCTGTTCTACCCCAGGGAGGAACTTCTGTGGCCCCATGGGTCTCTGTTGTTAGGAGTGCCACCTGTAGGACTTCCCAGTTCTGCTACTGGGCAAACATGCCAAGTGACAATGACATGGGCTTCTTTTTTATGAATGACTGACTTTGGATGTACTTAAATATTTGTTATTAGAAGAGTTTCATTTAGTTGCAACTTTGCTTGTTACTGGAGGTGACGTATGTGTGTGTGTGTGTGTGTGTGTGTGTGTGTGTGTGTGTGTTGCCAGGCTGACCTTGATTTTGTTGCTTTCTGTCTCAGCCTCCCACGTAGCTGGGATTATATGCATGTACTACCATGCCCACCTTATGCTCTGTTTCATTTACAGGGAAGAAGATTTCTTAGTTTTCTCTTCAGTTGGAATGTAGACTTTATTAAAATGATCCATGAGACCATTAAAAATCAGTTGTCTGGATTGCAGAAGTAAGTACTACAGGCTTTGCTCTGATTTTGAAAGGTGTGTGAGCGTGCGCGCCCTGTGATGCGGTCTTGCTGTGTAGCCCAGCCTGGCCTCTCACTACACAACATTCTGACTGCTCAGCTTCCCAGTTGCAGCTGTGCACCACCACTCTGTTTATATTAACATTAGAAGCTTAGAAGTTACATCTTAAGATATACTACTGTATCATTAGGTGGCCGTTTTCCTCTAATCCTTGTCATTTTTCCAGTAGTGATGTTGAGATTGAGACTTTAATTTGTAGTTTCTTAGTTCTCCTTAGTTCCTTAGTTCTTCCCTGGAGTTGGTGTGTTTGCTGAAGATCAGGTTGACTGATCTTCAGTTCCTGGGTTCCCTCAGTCTCCAGTCTCTGGGGAAGCTGGGACAGAAAGCATTGGTGCCTCTCTTGACAGTTACGGCTCTGTCTCATTCACAAGGAAGTGCATGTTAGGAATTCAGTGCAACATCTAATTGAGCGTGGGCTGAAGTGTGTGGCTGCTGTGAGGAGCCCTGTGGTTTGAGTAGGGAAAGCCAGAGCTATGAGGTTAGTACTTGCTGTGCCAGCAGTCAGAGCTGCTAAGCAACTGTGTGCATTTGCTGAGTGCTCATTTCCTGCACCTGAGGTAAGCTGCAGTTTCTAAACTACTTAGTGTCAGGCAGCTGTATGAGCACTGAGTTGGGATTGACGATAGTCGGAGTGGAAAACTCTTGCTGTGTTCTGGATTGCTTTCTTGTGTCTCCTTGTTTGTAAAATATCTACACCGAACTAACTTCTAAACTTAGATGGTTCTAAAGTTGAATCCTATTGTAAAGAGTTGGTGTTTTTAATGAATTGTTAGTTTATTTATTTGGATGTGGGTGTGCCATAGCACACACATGGAGGTGAGAGTAACTTCTCTCTTCACACCAGTTGGCATTTAGGCATTGGCAGGTCATTGAACCTGGAAGCAAATGCCTTTACCAGCTGAGCTCTCTCCCCAGTCCATATTTGAAGTCTCTGACTTCAGAATTTAATTCTGGGCCTGGGCTGTCACTGCATCCCAGGGAGTGGGAGCATTGTTACTGAGGCCTTGACTGAGGAGTCCATTCCAGCCTCTTTTCCCCAGTCCTGTCCTCTCCCTCTTTCCATCACAGGTAGCTGATACTGCAGACAGTTTGCTGAACCAGATCCTATATCAGTTTCCTCTTCCTAAGGCCAGGAGAGTGACTCAAGTGTGGTACCTGGTAAAGGTGTAAAGATTTAAACATGTAATAACATCTTTTTTTTTTTTTTTTTTTTTTTAAATAGGTCTTTGATGGTTCACATTGCAGAAATTTATTTCAGAGCTTGGAAGAAGGCTTCAGGGAAAACATTAGAGGTATTTTCATTTTATTTAGTATCTGCTGTAGTCTAGTTACTTAAATATGCAAGGGTGGGCTATCTAAAACTTGTGCCTGGTCTACCTGAAAATGAGGCTGATTAGTGATGCTGATATAATGTGGCAGGCTGACTCTCCTTGTGGCCCACATGTTGAGGCATAGCCCCAGCTTTCCCCTTACTGGGATGTGCACTTTCAGTGAAGTCCAAGGGCTGTGTTCCTTATTCTGTTATCTCTGGGTCTAGACTGTCCAGGTACCTCTGGTTATTGGGCTGTTGGGGTGTTGCTAGTGAAAGGGTATTGCAAGTTGGATATACTGGGCTAAACAAAATGTAATATTAAAATAATTAAATGTAATATTAAAATAATTTGACCAGCTTCTTTTTTCTGTGTTTATTCTGGCTACTTTTATGTGCAAAGCTGCGCCTGTGTCTGGATCTGTTTCCATGGAGGGTGCTGTTCAGTTATGTTAAGAAGTTCATGACATTCACTTTGATTATACTTAGCCCATCCAACCGTACTGTATGTTAGGGTGGTCCAGCTTTTGTCATTCTCAATCCCGTCAACTGTCTGTCACCTCGTCTGTTTGCTCATTCTGTATTCTCAAAGACTAAAATTTAACTCTTAATCCAGAAGTGTTCTTGGTATGCTAGCGTCTTTCCTGACCCTTCTCTTGGAGAGAAGGCATTGACTGGTGGAGGCGGCAAGGCTTCTACAGGGCAAGTGGAGTGCAGTTACGGATGATGGTTTGGTTTCTGTCCACACTGCCTTTCTGCCTACTTAACATTTGGTCTTTAGGGCTAGTATTTGCCATTTTCTTCTACATCTAGGAATCCAAAGTTACTGTGTTCCCCTGGGGATGTTTTATAAACTAGTTTAAAAGTGTGTAGTCTTTCGGCAGAAAGACAGAACCAGGGTATTATTTGGCATTATTTTAGTTTGCTTATTTTGAAAAAAAAAAAAAAAAAAAGCTTTTTTTTTGGTTTTTTTTTTTTTTTTGTAATTTATTTTGTTATTTAAGCTATGTATCTCTGTGAGGGTCTGCATGGGTTTATGCACACTGAGTTTCAGGCCCGTGGCGGCCAGAAGCATTGAATCCCCTAGAGGTAGGGTTACAGGAAGTTATGAGCCACCTGACATGTGTGCTGAGAATGGAACTAGAGTCTTCTGGTAAAGCAGTTCTTACTCTTAGCTACTGAGCCATTGCTCCAGTTCCCCCACCTCTCTATTGTCTTCATTATCTTCATGCCTCAGCCTTCTTTTTTTTTTTTTAATTTTTTTTTAAAATTTTATTTATTATGTATACAACATTCTGCTTCCATGTACATCTGCACACCAGAAGAGGGCACCAGATCTCATAACAGATGGTTGTGAGCCACCATGTGGTTTCTGGGAATTGAACTCAGGACCTCTGGAAGAGCTCTTAACCTCTAAGCCATCTCTCCAGCCCAAGCCTCAGCCTTCTAAATGCTAGAATTAACAATTTTGTTTCATCATTTTAATTCAGATAGATAGATAGATGTGTGTGTGTATCTATATTCCTTTTTTTTCCCCCAAGACAGGGTTTCTCTGGGTAGCCCTGGCTGTCTTGGAGTGGGCTCTGTAGACCAGACTGACCGTGAACTCACAGAGATCTGCTTGCCTCTGACACTTGTGCCGGGATTAAAGGCGTGTGCCACCACCACCAGCTATTTGTATTTTTAATTTTTCTTGTTTGTGTCATTTTTAACATTATTTATGTATGTGCATGAGTGTGGGCATGTTTGCTGTGGCATACGTGGAGGTCAGGGGCCAGCTTTCAGGAGTCCATTCTGTTCTGCTGCCACGTGGATCTTAGGTGTTAATCCTAGGTTGTCTGGCTTGGCAGCAAGTTGCCTTTTATTAGGATATGAAAAGTTGCCCTCAGGGCTTTGTGTGTTGCTCTCCTCTTTAAGTCTGTGCCACCCGTAGAAGAGAGTGCCGTATTCTGCCTGTCCCAGTTTGTCTTTATGGCACATGTAACGTCTAGGACACGTGGGATAAGCTCCCATCTCATCATTTATCAGATAGCATGTTTCCCACATTCAGAGATTTGTCCCTGACTTCACGAAGGTAAAATTTCAAGGTGATACTGATAAGCAATACTTATGACCTTCCCTGGAGCCACAGAGTCCCAGAGCCTGAAGTATGGGGTAACATGTAGTTTGGTGGGCCTGGCTTTCATTCTGTCTCAGTCTGGAGCTGATGTAGCTCCACTGGAGAGACTCTTGCAACAGGTTGGAGCTTGTGATGTTCATCCAGGTCAATGTGGCTGTCCTGAGGTCCCTCCTGTCTGTCCTGGGTACACTCCTTTTTCCCAGTGTCTGTACTTCTGTCTGTTGTGAGCAGCTGGCTTCTGATGGTTGTGGGTAGCTTACTTTGCTACTTCGCCCAGGTTCACTGTTCCACCAGATAAAATAGAAGCAACTAAGTATGCTTTTTATATGTGGAAACACAAGGAACAGTGAGAGGCGTGGACACATGGTCCCAGCTCTGACCGAACATCCCCGGCTCTGCCTCCTGACTGGGAGGCTCCCGTTCTTGCCTGCCTGTGCACACTGCCCATGGGATATCTGCTCATCATTGCTCTTACTATTTCAGGCCATCGAATATGCCTGCATCCAGGACTTAATGTTCCATGGCATCCACCTTCCAAGGAGGTCTCCCGTGCACTCCAAAGTACGAGAGGTGAGTGACGTACCCCCAGTCTGCTAACTATGAGCTAATGGTTGCTGAGATCTGGTTCCATCAGTTCCAGACTGAGCCTTTCTGTTTGTCTTGGCTAAATAAAATAATTTGTAATTTTATCCTACCAGTCAAAGGAATTTCCCAGTGTTCTGATACTTGGTATCCTGGCAGTTTGTTTCTGCCACCAGCTCCATGACGAGGAAAGAAAGGGCACCACTGTCATTAAGCCAGCTGGGATGGCGTCCTTTAAGAGTGACTCTGTGGCAAGTGGATTGTGTCTCTCTTAAGTTGCTTAAAGTCTTTCTGTGAAGTGAGAGCATCATCACTACCAAAACATGGTAATATTGTACTCAACAAGAAAACCCTACTGGCAATGAAAGTCATAAAATCTATTGAGTGTGGTAGTGTCTGTCTGTAATTCCATTGATCTGGAGGCTGGCCTGAGGTGTGTAGTATGAGACATTCTAAAACATTTACAAAGATAATGAAACCCTCCGGTAGGAAACCAGACTCATGCTGTAATCCATTGAGGGTTTTGACTAATGAATTTTCTGGAGGAGTGGATTCCAGTAACAAAGCAGAATTGATTGTTGCTGAGTTCAAGGGTCTGTACAGAATTGTGGGTCAGTTCTGGCTATCAGAGAAAAAGATGGTCTGTTTCTAATTAATCATAAGCTTTGGGAGGAATCAAGTATCTCAGTTGAGCTTGTGCTAAAAAGAGAATTTCGTAGAAGCTTGTTATGTAGACTTAAGTTAACTGGTGCCTATCCCTGCTGGGCAGCAGATACAATTGTGGGTTCATGAGCATTTGAGTCAAGAAGAGTCAGGCAAAGTCCTGTTCATGCTCCCCTCTTCCATTTTACCCTTAAAACCAGAGCTCTATGGAGGTCATGTGGACGTTGATAGGCTAGTAAAAATGTAGTTTTTAACCGGGTGGTAATGGTGGCTGCACACGCCTTTAATCCCAGCACTGGGGAGGCACTGAGCACTGAGTTGGAGGTCAGCCTGGTTTACAAAGTGAGTTCCAGGATGGCCAAGGCTACATACAAAATCCTGTTTCGAAAAACAAAAAACACAACAACAACAAAAAAAAAAGGAATTTAAGTTTTATATTTCTTGGCTTTTGAGGTAGGGTCTTGCTGAGTTGTCCTGGATGGCCTTGATCTCTTGGGCTCGGGTTTCTTCTGCATCAGCCCCTCAATTAGTGAGACTGCTACCATGTGTTACTGGGTGGTAGAACCTAGACAGTTTTAGAATTCAGGGCCATTGATCGTTACTTTGACCATGAATTCTTCCTTATGATTTGTCTTGTGTCTGTTGTAGGTCTTGCCAGAAAATGGCAAGGGTCACAATGGCGGGGTGGGGCAGAATAACCTTTCTTCCTGTTTCTGGGGCTTTTCTGGAGCTTTTCTGTTTGGAGATAGACTCTTGTAGCCTAGGCTGGCTTCAGGGTTACCATCCTTCTCCCTCATCCTCCTGAGGGGGTACGCCTCTACATCTGACCCCCAATGTACACCACTATACCATCTGCCTCCCTAGGGGTCTGCTCGCTATATATACCATCTGTCTCCCTAGGGGTCTGCCCGCTATATACACCATCTGCCTCCCAAGGGGTCTGCCCGCTATATACACCATCTGCCTCCCTAGGGGTCTGCCCGCTATATATACCATCTGCCTCCCAAGGGGTGCGCTACCACGTTTGACTCAGGCGCTTTACAGTAACTCCGAAACTTTTTTTTTTTTTTTTAAAGATTTTATTTATTTATTATGTATACAACATTCTGCTTCCATGTACATCTGCACACCAGCAGAGGACACCAGATCTCATAATGGATGGTTGTGAGCCACCATGTGGTTGCTGGGAATTGAACTCGGGACCTCTGGAAGAGCAGTTGGTGCTTTTAACCTCTGAGCCATCTCTCCAGCCCAACTCCGTAACCTTTGTTCCTTTCTCTGTCTCTGGCCTTTAGGTGCTGAGTTACTTTCACGGACAGAAAGTCCGTCAGGGAGTGGAAGAGATGCTGTATAGGTTGTACAAGCCCATTCTGTGGAGAGGACTGAAGGTAATGAGCATCTAGTGTTTCGAGTGCTTTGAGTTGAGCCTGTGTGATTGAGAACCCTACTGAGGCAGTGAAAATAAGACTGGAGACAGCGCCTTACGGCTTTATTTCTCATGGTTTTGCACTGTGTTACCCATCCCCCGCACCTGGGCTCACGTGTCCTCCTGCTCAGCCTCTCATAAGTGTATCACCATTCCTGGCTCTCAGTTTTCAACCCTTATGAAGAACATGTCTCCACCCACTTAACTACAAAGGTGGATCAGTTCAGGACAGAGTAAGCAGCTGTGTGAAAATCATTCCAGAGGGTGACAGGGGTGTGCACAAACACCAGTGAGGCTGGGTAGAGTAACTGCTGTGCCGCCTGCCTTTCCTGACACCCTCATGGGCAGAAGGCAAGCACACTCACAGAGTGTTTTGAAGAACACCCTGTTCTACACAGAAGTCTGGCGTGACTAGAAGGTGGTAAATAACAATGTCAACAACACAAGTACTCTTTTTTTTTAAAGATTTATTTATTATGTAGTGTTCTGCCTGCATGTATCTCTGCAGGCCAGAAGAGGGCAGAAGACCACATTACAGATGGTTGTGAGCCACCATGTGGTTGCTGGGAATTGAACTCGGGACCTCTGGAAGAGCAGTTGGTGCTTTTAACCTCTGAGCCATCTCTCCAGCCCAACTCCGTAACCTTTGTTCCTTTCTCTGTCTCTGGCCTTTAGGTGCTGAGTTACTTTCACGGACAGAAAGTCCGTCAGGGAGTGGAAGAGATGCTGTATAGGTTGTACAAGCCCATTCTGTGGAGAGGACTGAAGGTAATGAGCATCTAGTGTTTCGAGTGCTTTGAGTTGAGCCTGTGTGATTGAGAACCCTACTGAGGCAGTGAAAATAAGACTGGAGACAGCGCCTTACGGCTTTATTTCTCATGGTTTTGCACTGTGTTACCCATCCCCCGCACCTGGGCTCACGTGTCCTCCTGCTCAGCCTCTCATAAGTGTATCACCATTCCTGGCTCTCAGTTTTCAACCCTTATGAAGAACATGTCTCCACCCACTTAACTACAAAGGTGGATCAGTTCAGGACAGAGTAAGCAGCTGTGTGAAAATCATTCCAGAGGGTGACAGGGGTGTGCACAAACACCAGTGAGGCTGGGTAGAGTAACTGCTGTGCCGCCTGCCTTTCCTGACACCCTCATGGGCAGAAGGCAAGCACACTCACAGAGTGTTTTGAAGAACACCCTGTTCTACACAGAAGTCTGGCGTGACTAGAAGGTGGTAAATAACAATGTCAACAACACAAGTACTCTTTTTTTTTAAAGATTTATTTATTATGTAGTGTTCTGCCTGCATGTATCTCTGCAGGCCAGAAGAGGGCAGAAGACCACATTACAGATGGTTGTGAGCCACCATGTGGTTGCTGGGAATTGAACTCGGGACCTCTGGAAGAGCAGTTGGTGCTTTTAACCTCTGAGCCATCTCTCCAGCCCAACTCCGTAACCTTTGTTCCTTTCTCTGTCTCTGGCCTTTAGGTGCTGAGTTACTTTCACGGACAGAAAGTCCGTCAGGGAGTGGAAGAGATGCTGTATAGGTTGTACAAGCCCATTCTGTGGAGAGGACTGAAGGTAATGAGCATCTAGTGTTTCGAGTGCTTTGAGTTGAGCCTGTGTGATTGAGAACCCTACTGAGGCAGTGAAAATAAGACTGGAGACAGCGCCTTACGGCTTTATTTCTCATGGTTTTGCACTGTGTTACCCATCCCCCGCACCTGGGCTCACGTGTCCTCCTGCTCAGCCTCTCATAAGTGTATCACCATTCCTGGCTCTCAGTTTTCAACCCTTATGAAGAACATGTCTCCACCCACTTAACTACAAAGGTGGATCAGTTCAGGACAGAGTAAGCAGCTGTGTGAAAATCATTCCAGAGGGTGACAGGGGTGTGCACAAACACCAGTGAGGCTGGGTAGAGTAACTGCTGTGCCGCCTGCCTTTCCTGACACCCTCATGGGCAGAAGGCAAGCACACTCACAGAGTGTTTTGAAGAACACCCTGTTCTACACAGAAGTCTGGCGTGACTAGAAGGTGGTAAATAACAATGTCAACAACACAAGTACTCTTTTTTTTTAAAGATTTATTTATTATGTAGTGTTCTGCCTGCATGTATCTCTGCAGGCCAGAAGAGGGCAGAAGACCACATTACAGATGGTTGTGAGCCACCATGTGGTTGCTGGGAATTGAACTC